TATATTATTATAAATATATTTTTTTCTTTCTTTTTTTAGCAGAGATGGGGTTTCACCATGTTGGCCAGGCTGGTTTCCAATTCCTTACCTCAAGTGATCCACCCTCCTCTGCTTCCCAAAATGCTAGGATTACAGGCGTGAGCCACCATGCCTGTCCCAGAAGTAGACAAAATTTAAATCTACAATTCATACTAAAAGTTACCTGGGCAACAAGGTAAATTCCTTGTTGCTCAGGTAATTCCTTAGTAATGTTAATCCCTGTTGCCCAGGAAATTCCTTCCAATATTAAGGAAAATAAATGTATTTAAAAAAATAAAATGCATTATTTTAATATGTTGTTATGTTGACTAAATCATAATTATAACTATATTTGTAACTATCAATGTTTCTATTCAAGTCAAATTCTAAGAAGAATTCTCCATCCTTCTGACCCCTATCCCAGTGTGTTTTGGAGTCACCATATGCCAGCTGACCCTGGTTCACACCAGCTCAAACGGGCCAATTGTGTACATTTCTTCCAACCTTGCAGTCAGTAACATCTTGTTGGCAGCTTGAAATGGGTCAGGGGAGTATTTACCCCACGGAAATTCACAAATAAGGACTTTCATTTTATTTGGAGATTCAGTTGCTAAACATTTACCAACATACCATAGCCCACCCATTTCCTGCTCCTAAGAAATATGCTCCCCAAACAGTGCCTTTTCCTATTCCACTTTAATCTTAAAACGTATAGCGTCTTGTAATAAAATAACCTGTTATTTCTTTACAGTCACTGAATATGTGTTCAATTTAGACTTCAGCATAACAAGACCAAAACTAGAAAAAATAACCTTAGGATAAAGAGCATGCATTAGTCATGGGGCATTGCTGGATGGAAAGTATTGTAAGGTTTCAAAAATTTTGATTGACTGTATGTATTAAGAAACCTAGGCTGGATGCAGTGGCTCACACCTGTAATCCCAGCACTTTGGGAAGCTGAGACAAGAGTATCTCTTGAGTCCAGGAGTTTGAGACCAGCCTGGGCAACATGGCGAAATCCTGTCTCTACAAAAAATACAAAAAAAAAAAAAAAAAAAGCCAGATCTGGTGGCACATGCCTATAGTACCAGCTACTTGGGAGGCTGAGATAGAAGGATCACTTGGATCCTGAGAGATCAAGGCTGTAGTGAGCCAAGATCGTGCCACTACACTGCAGTATAGCCTGGGAAACAGAGTGAGACCTTGTTTCAAAAAGGAAAAATGGAAGGAAAGGAGAAAGAAAGAAATCTAAAAGTTTATAAAATGTACTAAATCACTCCTTTGCTTATATCTTGACAGTGGTCTCCATTACACAAAGAATGAAACTTACCACTTTATAGTGACCTTTAAAACAAAAAATGGTGTCTCCTATTTAAATCCAGCCTCATTTTGCACTAGCACTCATTCCCTCTCCCTCTCACTTCCCCTCCTTCAACTTTCCTATTATTTTTTCTGTTTCTCTTATTAACCAAACCCATTTCCTCCTTAACATCACTGTGTTACTCTTTGCTCTGCTTGAACACTGTTTTCCCAGTTTTCCTCATCCTTTTTGACTTCTTTGTAATCACTGCTCCCTTCCTCCCCCACTTCTCCTCCTCTTTCTTTTCCTCCTCCTCCTCCTTATTCTTTCTCTTTTCTGTCTTTATCTCTGCCTCTCTATCTCTATCATCTCCTCCTTCTCATCCTCTCCCTCTCTCTCATCATGGTTTAACTCTCACTTCTGCAAAGAGCTCTTCTGTGACCAGGCTACAACCTTGTGGTTACTGTGTATCTCATTACCCTACTTATTTTCTTCTTACATTTGTTCCCATTTGAAACTGTCTTACGTAAGACTCTGTTGATTTTCATTGTCTTCCTATGGTTGACTATAATATTCAGGAAAACAGATTTTATCTGTCTTTCTTGCTGATAAATATTCAGTCCCTTGGACCAGTGACTGAAGGGAAGAAGGAAGGAAAGATAGAGGGAAGAGAATTTAGCATCTTGGTCTTGATTTACAGAGGTTACTGAAATACTAATTTCATTAGTAGGCAGCTTCACTTGTTAAGAAGTTTCTCTTCCTGGACTATAGTGACAGGGAGTTTTTTAAGTCCACCGCAGATGTCCACTTAGACAAAATCTGCAAATACGCTGCTCTGTTTTCAAGCATGAAAACATTTGCTGGAGTGTAGCCATCAACATATGAAAGGTTAAAACTTTGTGAAATATTAATACTGGGGCTTTGAAAATGAGAGCAATAGTGTTTATCCAAAGCATCAGGTTTGCAGTCATTCTATTTTGTGAAGTTTTTTTTTTGAATGTGTAACATATGATACTGGTCTGTGTACTTGACCCTTCAGGCTAAATGTAATGGATGGTGAATAAGGATGCATCCAAGAAGAAAAAGGAATCAAAATAGGCTTATTTCTCTAAAGGAGTATCACAGAGTAAGAATGTTTGGTTTCAATCCTTTTGGCAGATCATTTAAAATAATTTGATCTTCATCCCATGGATTTGAAAATGTTTTTAAAGCACAATGTCAGCATCCAGTTAATTCAAAGACAAATTGTTTCTGAGACTACTGCTGATCTGTCTAGGATAGCTGCAGGATATACTGCTATATCCAACATTAACGTGGTAGCTGGAAAATATCAAGAAATATTTTCTAAGGCTTTGGGAGGTGTTATTTCAGTGGCTCCGATTGATTTCATTATTATTATTCCTGAAAATGAATTGCATGAGCAGTGTATAACTTGACTTATGTCTGCCAGGTAGAAAAATCGAATCTTTGTCCTTGAGGACATTATAACTGAGAAAGGAAAGACGATCACACAAAATCATATGTGGAAATAGAGTTGCAAAGATCATCATCTTGCCAAACACAACTTTGGTTTAAAAGAAAGTATATAATGAAGCCCATGGGAGGAGTGATTTCGAGGATTTAATTACTATTTAATCAGATTTTTCCATTATCTGGAATATTTAGAAGGGAATTAACCTAAAGAAGTTATAAGCACGATCATACTATCAATAACACTTCTTTGAATGTAACAAAGTTCTGTAGCTGCAAGGGATAGGATACATGGAAAGGATCAGGTCTGTTTGTTCGCAAATATCATGGACCCCTTTACAAGAATAGTTTATGATGACAAAAAAATGTAATTTTCTGTCACAGCCTTATTAAGTGTTTTAGACAGCAGGGACAATAGGAGGAGACTGAAGTAATAACAGCAGCATGGTATTCTGAAAGAATTAGCATGCCTCAAAAAATTCTTAACGTACTCTCAAAATTAATCTGTCTTTGTGAAAACAGGGCTAGCTGTTTCAATTTGCATTAATCTGTTAAACCATGCACAAGTTCAGTTTACTCAAGTAACATATCCAATGTTAGCTTAATTAATTGATTGTCTGAACAATTTAATCTGATAAACCAATTATCTGACATGTCCAAGATAATGCCTCTGTAATATTAACAGTCTGCTCTTGCTGTTTAAGATATAGAAAGTTCTATACAATTGGATTAACCCACAAAATTATCCTAGACCCTGTTCTTTGGGGGTGCCTTTTAATGGTGGCTAGGGGGAATTTAGAAGGATTAAAATAAACAGCAAATTAAAAAAAAAAAAAAAAAGGAGGTTGTGATTCGGGCAGTCATCGGATTCATCTCACAAGGAACCATCACCAAAGTGAATCCTCAATCTGCCACCATTGTATTGAGAGCCCTCAGGCTTCTGTCAAGATGTATTTTCCCACTGAGATCAGCCACTGGTGGTCCTTTTAAAGCTGATTCACCCAGATCAATATAATCAGACAGATGGAGAGGATGGCAACATAAGTCACAAATGATGACTTGCCTCAAAAGAGCCGACCCTGAGTGCATGACATTTCTCTGTAGATGTTCCTTTTGAAGAACCTAACTGTGCTTTCTATGGTTTTTTTTTTTTTTTTTTTTTTTTTTTTTTTAGCCAATACCCTAACCCATCCTCATACCTTGCACAACACAGGGAATCTGGAAGATTCCTAGAACTAATTGGCTTGACTTAAACACACCAGAATTGTAGAGTCATGCCCAAGTAACTCCATAGGCTCAATGAGAAGCTTTACTCCTATAGGCAAAAATATTTCTATCAATATATGTCTGTAGTATAGAGAATTGAGAGTAAGTAACCATAGTCATTTACAAAAATACAAATTGTTGTGGGAGCTGTTTTATAAAAGTGTGTGAAAGAAAAGAAATTCAAAAGAAGAAATTTTAGTTAGGATATAGCTTTAAGTAGCCATGGGTAAATGGCCCCATGCTAGGAAAACTGTTCCCCTGCAAACAGAAAACTTGCCTCGCTTAATTCTTTTCCAGTGTTTTTACTATACTGCAAAAGAGTCTTCCAAAAATGTTATCTCATATGCATCCCTAAATGTCTAGCCACAAACAATTATTAGTACCTTTTAAATAATCAAGTTGTACTCTCAAAAAAGAAGAAAAATATGTAACTTTTCCCAAAAATAAGTAGTGGGAAAATAGTAAATACATGCCATTACTCATTGTTGTTATACGTCTTTGTTCATTGCACTTTGCTTTATAAGATATATATTTAATATTCATGTAAAATGCTTTCTTGGCACTAGGTCAGTATCTTCCCAATGAAGAGCCCATTGATGACACAGAATGGAACTTCTCTTCTAATTAAAGACCGCATATTACCCAGCGTCCCTTTTGTCGCATTGAAGAACAGGGAACTTTTTATTCTTATTAAGAAATGGCCTTTCAGATTCAGTAACAACATGTTCTGTTCCTCAGGAAATAAGAGAAGATCGAGATAGGGCGCGGCTGGACTCCATGGTGCTGCTGATTATGAAACTGGACCAGCTTGATCAGGACATAGAGAATGCCCTCAGCACCAGCTCCTCTCCGTCGGGCACACCAATGAACCTGCGGCGGCACGTTCCTGTGAGATTTCCACTTTCTACTTATTTTCCCATAAGAGTCGTATCTCTGTACTTTATACAGTCCCTCTTGCAAAGGAAACATCCTTGTTAATGGCATCTAACAACATATGACTCCAATATAGTACCATAAAGATAACCAAAATACCTCTATGCATCATGCATACATTCTAGGCATACTTCTATGCAAAGAGGCCACAGAGAAATGGGTGATACCAAAGAACATGTTTTTCATTAAACAGGAAGGAAAGTCACCTTGGGAAATTATGCTTTGTAGTGATTGAACCTTCCTTAATTGCCAGTCTTCTCTGATATGAGAGAGACTCTATTAGCAAGTACTATGTCTGTCACTGTCCCACAAATTTGTATTGCAAGTAGAAGATTCCTATTGTAGATTTGCTACATGAATAACTGGATGGATGGATGGATGGATGGATGGATGGATGGATGGATGGATGGATGGATGGATGCTAGTTGAACTAGCCCAACACACTACAAGAAAGAATTTAGATGAGATTAACTTGAGAAAACTCTAAAATTCACTTAGTGAGATACAGTGAAAGAGACAGAGCTGAGAATTTCATTTTATTATGCATCAATTTTACATAATACAGACACTCCTCTGAGAGTCCAGCACTCAAAATCTGGAAGACAGATTCTAGGATCGACTATACGCTTTACATATTTACTATCAGCATCATATTAAATGACTTAGTTTGTACAGATCTAGGAAATGTGATGGTTGAGTTTACTTATAATTAAGCTATGAATCACTGTTCAACTCATGTATTACTTGTGTTATTCAATAATAAACATATTAAATCAAGAAATTTGTATTTACCTGAAATCAAAGCAGTAGAAAAACATATATATAAATTTAAGCATCTACTGAAATATAACTGTTGTCTATCAAATGATTTGATACATATTCTTCTGCCTCCATTTAAATTGTCAACTGGATTTTATATTGCCCACATTGTCTCATGGAATATCACAATTGTTAGGTCTGTAAATAGAGATATATTCAGAATAGGCAAATATAATACAGTGGAAACATTATGAACTTTGGAGTGTGAAGGTCTGAGTTCAAATGCCAGCATTATACCTGACTTTCTGGGAACATAAAGTTATTTAATTTCTCAACTGCGGGTTCATGTGAAAAACGGAGATATTATTTCCTAACTAATGGCTCTTTGGGAGGCATAAATGAAAAAAATGTATGTAAGAGGTATTGCACGGATCAAGCACAGAGTACATGGTTAATTCTCCTTCCTCCCCCTTGTACTAGACTCACTCACACCAGGCCTTGAGCTAGAGATGAATAAGACATATTCCAACACCCTGGAAACTGCTTTTTGATCTTTATGTTTTTCTGGGTCACCTCTTGTTCTTTATTTATGTTCCTTGGAATTTAAAGCTAATTTTAACATTCTTTCACCATCAAATTTTTTCCCACAGAAGTTTCCACTCCTTTTGATAATTGTGTGGTGGAATAAGAGGATTATAATGGCAGGATTAGGACCTTGACCATCTACCAAGGAGCACTGACCCAGATACAGAGGACACACTGCCTCTGCCCCACCCTCATACTTCACTGTGAATTTATAGATTAGCAGGAAGAACAAGACACACAGTGAAACACTCACTGCCCCCCAACTCTACCCCAGTTTGAGAATATTTATGAGAAAATGCCAGAATAAGTTCTGCATATAATAAAAACTATCAAGAATAATATAGTCTTTAAAGATGTCTTTAACATAAAAAAATAATTAAAGCACAGGTAGAGATAAAGGTTTAAAGGAGGCTGCACAGATAAAGCCTTATAAATTGGCTATGGCCTGATGAATCAACAGAGCCCAGGATCTGGTGGTTTTCTCCTTTGCAAGGCTGATTTTATCCAGGCACTCACAGTGTGCCAGTCTCTTGGTGCTTACTGAGATAGCCAATCTTGTAGGATGAATGGGGACAGGGGATGAGATGAAGACTAAGTATTTAGTGAGTGCTAACCTTTATGTAAGTTACTTCATTTAACCTCTTGACAGTCCTACCATGAGAAATCTGAGCTTCAGAGAGAGAGGATGAGTAATTTACCTGTGTTCACACTGATGGGGAGCGGTCAGTTATTTACCAAAGGTCACCCAGCAGGTGAGATTTGCACATCTGTCAGACTCCAAAACCTATGCTCATTCTGCTATATTAGAAGCCTTCCCAACATGCCAATATTTTATTTACAATGAGATACGTACAATTTCCAGAACCAGAATTCCCTGGTTGTCAGACAGTCAGGGCGTTTTCTTCCTAATAATGACATGTTTTGAAGTTTGAATTAGGAATAGCTTTGTAGTCAATGTTTAATTAAGGGAATGCTGACAGTCTCTTGGGATATTTCATTGATACATAGGGAAGTTCAGACACATACAAGCCAGAACCACTCTACCACCTTCGATTGGGCCTCCCCTGCTGTTCTGCAGTATCTTTTGGTCTCCCTGGATCTTCTCCCACATTTCAAGGTAGCCATTCAACAATCTTACTTGCATTTATCTCTTAGCATTCTTACCTCTTAACACCCTTGCCTTCCTCTTCTCATAGAAAAATGAGACCATTGAAAGATGTCCCAGCATCACACCTGCAAACAGCTATAGGTGCCTCTTTGCCTCTTTCTCTCCTCCAACACCAATAAAAGATGTGTTGCTCCTGTCATCTAATACTGTTCTGTCTCCACCCTCATCCCCATTCCTTCCCACCTGCTTTGCTCTACCAATTATTCAGACTCTCACTTAGGTTCAAATTCCATTGCTCTGTTCTGATTAGTCTTCACCCTTTTTCTCTACAGCAAGTATAGTTGGGACTACAGGCATGCATCACCATGGCTGGCTGTGGGGTTTTTTTGTTTGTGTGTTATTGTTGTTGTTGTTGTTTGTAGAGATGGGGTTTCTCTATGTTGCCCAGCTGTATGTTCTAGGGCTCCTGGCCTCAAGCAATCTTTCCACCTCGGCCTCCCAATGTGTTGGGATTACAGGCATGAGCCATCACACTCAACCTCTTTCTTGATTTAATTGTTGGCTGTTGCTCCATCATTTCTCCCCACCCCTTCTCTCATCTGACAAATCCAGCAGTGCCAAAGCAGTCTCTCACCACAGCATTCTGTATTTTCTCCACCACCTACCTATTCAATAAATCCTTCCTTAGTTTGACTCTGCTGTTAGTGGGTAGGAGAAGAGATGTGGATGGGGAAGAGTTAATTGTTCTTTTTTTCTCTTGACCCTCTTTCAGATATTGCCCTAGTTCATCCCTTCATTTTTAAGCCAAACTTTAATCTCGTCTTCATCTTATATTTCTTTCCTGATTTATAATTTATTTTTATTTTTTAGAGACAAGGTCTTGTTTTTGTTTGTTTGTTTGTTTGTTTTTTGAGATGAAGTCTCGCTCTGTCACTGGAGTGCAGTGGCGCGATCTCGGCTCACTGCAACCTCCACCTCCCGGGTTCAAATGATTCTCCTGCCTCAGCCTCCCAAGTAGCTGTGATTACAAGCATGCACCACCATGCCCAGGTAATTTCTGAATTTTTAGTAGAGACGGGGTTTCACCATGTTGGCCAGAATGGTCTCTATCTCCTGACCTCATGATCTGCCCACCTCGGCCTCCAGAAGTGCTGGGATTACAGACATGAGCCACTACGCCCAGCCAAGGTCTTGTTCTTTTAATTTGCATGCTTAATATTTGTTGCTCAGGCTGGAGTGCACTGGCACAATAAATAAATCACTGCAGCCTCAAACTCCTGGGCTCAAGTAATCCTCCTGCCTCAGTCTCCTGGGTTGCTGGGAATATAGGCATATATCACCATGACTGGCTAATATATTTTTTTTTAATTATTGAAGAGATGGGGTTTCTCTGTGTTGCCCAGGCTAGTCTAGAGCTCCTGGCCTCAAGCAGTTTTCCCACCTTCGCCCCCCAATGTGTTAAGATTACAGGCATGAGCCATCACACACAGCCTCTTTCTTAATCATTGGCTATTGCTCCATCATTTCTCCCCACTGCTTGTTTTATCTGACAAATCCAGTAGTGCCTGTTCAGTCTCTCCCCACAGCATCAGATGCGATTGAATTGCTTCTCTTCCTTCACTTTCACTCCTCTCCTGACTTCTGGCTGCTCTGCTGTTTTTCCTTGTATTCTTCAACGGTTGCTTTCCAGACCCTTCGATGGCTCCTCTTCATACATCTGCCTCTGAAATCTTATATCAAGATTCTAGACTCAATTCTCCCTTTGTCTGGCTTTGAATATTCTCCCTGGGAATCACCACAGCTTCCATTCCCTTCTCCATATTGAGGGTCACCAGTGAGACCTTTTCTTATGATCTCCAGATCAGAACAACCAATGGACCACAAGATGCACCCTTCCCTGAGTGGGTTGAGTGGTATAAGCACTTCTAGTACACACATCACTGGAGTCCCTGCCATGATATAAACCCCACAGAGAGCTCTATATTCCCATTGTCTGGCACAATTGGAGGCATAGGATAACACTGATGGATGGAGTCTTGCAGGAAGATGTCTTGTAGGATTAATTACACAAAGCAAGGTGGGGGAGTGGGTCACAGGGAAATTATGAGTTGGCAGTTGTAATGATATACCCAGGGTTTATTCAGTGCTTGATTTGCTTATGGTAGCAGTGGAAAATTAAAGGAGAGAGTGGATGTGAAAGATCTTGGGAGAGCTTTTGGGTAATTTCTCAAATTGAACAGAGGACAGAAGAGAAAATAATAAAGATTTGTACTAAACTACACATTGATGGTCCTATTAAAATTACTTATTTAGTTGTGTTTGAGGCCCCTGCAGAATATCATGGTGGTTACTTTAAAAAGTTGAATTCTGGGGTCACACAGACCTGAGTTCTAATGCCAGCTCTGCCTTGGGATATGACTTTGGTCAAGTTATCTACCTTAAGCCTTGGCTTCACCCACCGTCTCTCGTGTGATGGTGGTGCCTTCCACATAGAGTTGATGAACATTGAAGCAGATAATGGTTGTACAGCCTTGTCTGCCAAAGGTAAAAATGCAAAAAATGGTAGAGTTTTAAAAAGTCATTATTTCACCTTGGAAGCATTATACGGTTCGAAAGATGCAAGATCACTCTATTATTTATCTAATCAAATCACAAACAGGAAATTAATGCAAAATATTTCTAATATACCTAAAGGTCAAATAGAAATGACTTATAAATTACCTGCTACTTATGACTATGCATTCAATGTTTATAAATTATCAGCTATTTAAGACTACTTGATGTTGATCCAATTTGAAAGTGTAATGAATCATATTCTTAAGGTAAAATGTTGTTTGTCTTTTCTATGCAAAAAAAAAAAAAAAAGACATGGCCCTGATCCAAAATCACTCCAGGCATCAGATATTTGGTCAGAGTTATGTCTTTTACACACATGCGCACACACACACACACATGCACACACACGCACATACATTTAAAGAGAGTGTAACATTATTTTTTGCTGCATATGTCTTTTGCACCCTTCCAACTGAAGAAAATTTAGTTTCAATGCATTTGATCACATAATTTTACAGCAGAAATTATAAAATTACTTCTATTCTGAGAATTAAGAAAGGAAAGGTGGCCAGACGCAGTGGCTCACGCCTGTAATCCCAGCACTTTGGGAGGCCGAGATGGGCGGGTCACAAGGTCAGGAGATCGAGACCATCCTGGCTAACATAGTGAAGCCTCGTCTCTACTGAAAATACAAAAATATTAGCCGGGTGTGGTGGCGGGCGCCTGTAGTCCCAGGTACTCCGGAGGCTGAGGCAGGAGAACGGCGTGAACCCGGGAGGCGGAGCTTGCAGTGAGCCGAGATCGCGCCACTGCACTCCAGCCTGGGCGACAGAGCGAGACTCTGTCTCAAAAAAAAAAAAAAAAAAAAAAAAAAGGAAAGGTATTAATATTTGTCAGTCTAGTTGTTTCTTCATAAAACTATTTAATGATCATGTTCTATCTGCCAGGCACTATACTAACACCTGTGGACACATCAGTAAACAAGACAGGTGAAGTCCCTGCTCTACATAGATTGTAAAGAGGAAGACAGACAAGAATTGTAAAGAGAGATGGATGCATAGATGGATAGGTAGATAGGTAAATTCATAGAAGATAGATAGATAGATAGATAGATAGATAGATAGATAGATAGATAGAATATGTAGTAGATTAACAAGCAAAGAGGATTGTAAAATAGAGAATGATATGCTATAGAGGTTGAAAAGAAGAAAGTTCTTTGGTTTAAAATGTCAACGGATGGTGCTCTGAGGTAGTAATATTCAAGCTGAGATCAGAGTGACAAGAAAGGGCTAGCAAAGGGAAACACTGGGACAAGGGACAAGAAAGAGCATAGGGCCTAGTCCCTGCTGTAGACATCAGCTTACTGTATTAAAAGAAATGACCAAGAGCAGGTAGGACCAAGATGCAAGAGAATGGCAAAGCTAAGACCAGAGAGTTGGGGTGCAGGACATGATATTTGACTATGTGAACCATGGCAAAGTTGAGATGTATAAAGAGGATACATAGATATATTTAACTCACAGTTTTCTCAGATTGAAAGTCTAGAGTGATAGGTGCCTTTGCTCCATCCCCTCTGCAATTTCCCCCTCCCACCTTTCCTCTGTGCAATCAAACCACCTATAACTCAAAGAAAGCATATGATATATTAAATGCACAGCCTTTGCAGAGGTTACCAGGTAATTATATCCACTCAACAGACATGTCTTGACCTCACACTAGGTAGTAGTTGCTAAGAAAACATAATAATATTAATAATAACAATATTTATGGGAGTAGCTAGCATTTAATGAAAATTATTAGGAGCCAATTACAAGCACTTTGCTTTACGCTCATGAAACTCCATGAGTTTCTACTATCATTATACCCATTTTCAAACAAGGGAATTGAATGACACATGACAAAACATAATTCCTGCCCTCAGTTTATTAGATAGACATTTGAGCTAAACTATTCCAGTCCACCGTAATACTTGTCACCATAGAGGTTGAATAGGAACATAGAAGAGATTGAGGTAAGGAGAAATGAGAACTCTCTTTGTATTTGAAATCCAGTGTCCCTGTGAGGAACTCTGGGCAGCACTGTATAGCCAGAGGAGTGTCAGTGAGTGATTCAAGGTCATACAGTAAGGAAGGTGTGGCTGTGGGCTTCTGCCTTCTAACTTCTCTGCAGTGCCCTACCTAGCCACACTCCTGGCCCTTCCAATGCACACTAAGCTGTTAAATTACCAAACAATATGTTGCCTCTTTCTCAAGTATTTGCAGACCCTCTGATGAGCACAATGGTTCTTACAAAATAATGCATCATTATGTGTGACACGTCAGTGTCAGTTGTCAGCAACTCTTTAGTGTATTCGTGTGTATTGAGAGAAGGAAGAAGTGACCAAGTGCTGGAGGTAGGAAGAAGGGCATTTGGGAACATTCGCACATCCTTCATACCAGTGCATTTGTTTTTAACAGGATCTGGAATCAGGATCTGAAAGTGGAGCAGACACCATTTCAGTAAATCAGACACAAGTAAATTTGCCTTCTAACACTGAGTCCACGGACCTCCCATCTTCCACCCCAGTGGCCAATTCTGGAACCAAACCCAAGACTACGGTGAGTTCTAAATGATAACAAACAGTCTTTACGTGTAAATGCTGATGATCATCAGGTAAGAGTTGATATTCATTCAATATAGAAGAAATACTGTTGGAATCTTAGCCATAGCGACTTAACAATATTTAATTTATTTGATTAAGTACAACCCTAGAAACATGTTGTTTGTTTTATAAATGATAACACAAGTACTTCACTGAAACAAGTCGTGTATCAAGAATTATTCAAAACATGCTAATTAAATTTCATTGCTAGATACTCAGAGCTTTAAAGAACCAAGAATGCAAAATCTGGAGATGGCTTTCCCTACGCTCTTGTCCTGACCACATTGCTTACCAGTTAGAAAATTGTTTCTCTAAGATGTGATGAATGATAGATGACAGATGATGATGGATGGATGGATGGACAGATAGATTGATTGATTGGTAAAGAGAAAGAGATGATAGAGATAGATGTAGATGGATGGATAGATAATAATTATAGAAAGATATTTAGATTGATATAGACACAGATAGATTGATTGATAGATAATAGGTTTATATACAGAGATATATAAAATCACCCACATCAAAAACTTTCTGTGGGAATTAAATGAAAGAGCACATATAAGAAGTGCTTAGTGAAATGATTGGCACAGAATAAGTACTGAATAAATGTAAGTTACTGTCATTATTATTATGATACTTAGTAGACTTTACAATGTTATTAAAACAAATTATTCCACATGGAATAATATACTGTGAAAGGAGGAAACTGCTCTGGTTTGAAATGCTTCATGTGTAAATTGTGAATAAAAGACATTTTCCCTTAAGGAAAGAGTTGAAATGCAACAGGAAAATAGAATTTGACTCTAGAAGGTAACATTTATGGAGGAAGTAATTACCACTTCAAATATCTAAAATCCCAGTAGTTCCAAAATAACCTTTCCTAGTTTAGTGAAAATCTTAGCGTCGTATTATTTTTTACGCCCATGGTAGCTTAACACAAAAAAACAAGTTTGGATTGCTTGTTCACTGCCTTTAAAATAAAAGTCAAGTCTAAAATAGGACTCAGAAGATAATGTTCTGATTTTAAAACATGATAGATTTGCTGCAATTGCAAGAAGAATGAAAATATATCATTTAAATGACAGATATGCATGGTTTAAATATTTACATAGAAATTAAATTCCTTATGTTATTTATATCTAAAACATTTTTATGGAATAAATATTTATCGAGCACCTACTACATGCCATGCACTAGGCTACGTGAAAAAGACTTGGAGAAGAATAAAACATATTCCCTGTCTTTAAACAGCTTACATTCCAGCAAAAGGAGGTAAGTATGTAAACAGTGAAATGCTATACAGGCTATAATAATACTGTATATATTGGGAATAGGAGGAACTGGCAAGATAATTCATTTTTTAAAGCACCTGCTACTATCCTGCAGGGCAGTTCTTTTCTCCCTGATATGATTACCAATGGCATCCACTTTCTCTCTTGGAACATACAAATTTCAGTGAGTGAGTGTCTCATAATTCATAACAATGTGTTGAAGAATGTGTGCAGTTGCTTAGTCTTTCTTCACTTACCCCTGTGTTTATAAATGTGGTCAATACAGTTACACAGAAGCACATATATATACACACATATATATATACATATATACACATATATATGTATATATATATTTTTTTGAGATGGAGTCTTGCTCTGTTGCCCAGGCTGGAGTACTGTGGTGTGATCTCCGCTCACTGCAAGCTCCGCCCCCTAGGTTCACGCCATTCTCCTGCCTCAGCCTCCCAAGTAGCTGGGACTACAGGCACCCACCACCACGCCCATCTAATTTTTTGTATTTTTAGTAGAGACCGGCTTTCACTGTGTTAGCAAGGATGGTCTTGATCTCCTAACCTCGTGATCTGCCCGCCTCAGCCTCCCAAAGTGCTGGGATTACAGGCGTGAGCCCCGGCGCCTGGCCTATTTTTCTTATTTTTTAAGTTCCAGGATACATGTGCAGAACGTGCAGGTTTGTTACATACGTATGTATACGTGTGCCATGGTGGTTTGCTGCACCTATCGACCCGCCATCTAGGTTTAAGGTGGGAATGTAAATTAGTTCAGCCATTGTGAAAGTCAATGTGACAATTCCTCAAGGATCTAGAATCAGAAGTATTTGACCCAGCAATCCCATTACTGAGTATATATCCAAAGAAATATAAATCATTCTTCTGTAAAGACACATGTACATGTATGTTTATTAAAGCACTGTTTATAGTAGCAAAGACATGGAACCAACCCAAATGCCCACCAATGATAGACTGGATAAAGAAAATGTCGTACATATACACCATGGAATACTATGCAGTCATAAAAAGGAATGAGACCATGTCCTTTGCAGACATGGATGAAGCTACACTTTTGTTTTGAGGGGAATAATTTTTTCAATTTGTGTGGGGGTGTTTTCTTTTTTTCTTGTTATTGGTGTTGCTATTCTTCTAGGTACACCCTTTTCACTACAGTTCAAAAGTAATTATTGGGCCATGGATCAATTTTCTGGTTGGAATATCAGAATGAAGAATTTTGTCTATGGGAGATTGAACAGATACTTTCTCCCACAATTTGGAGCTTAAGGAATAAATGATATGTAATAACAGTCTAGATACTTTATGAAGAGAGAGAAAACTGTGATAGCCTACAGAGCTGTTCTTTTTACCATGAACAAAAGTTTTAATTTTAATATTAAGTAGAAATATGAAATTCGAAGAACACCTACTTAATACATCAAACTATAATGAACTAACCCTCTGCTCTGTAATGACAATTTGACAGCATGCCCACCTTCATTCCATAATTAAGGTTACCTTTGATTTGCTGCTATGAAATCTGTTTATAGTGGTGACCACAGTAACAACCACAGAAATTTGGCTTTCCTTTTGTGTGTAAGGTCTCTGGGTTTCTAAATGCCTATTTTTCAATCAGATTATTTTTCTTTTAAACTTATTCTTAGAATAGGACCAATGAGTCATCGTCAGATTTTTCATTAATTCTATGTATAGATCATGCTGAAAATTAAGCATTAATATAGATTTCTGAGATATATTTCATAAAAAAAATGAAAAAGTTAAAATGTTAAGTTATCCACTGTCAAAACACACATTAGTCAAAAGAAGAGGCCTATTGTGTCATGTCACCAAGCTCATCAATTTCTCTCCTAAATTCTGTTTGGTTCTTTTGACACAGTCTCACAATACCTTTCATACTAGACTCTTCCACAAACAACCCGCAGCCCCTGTATCATTTTATGTAAAGTGCTTTGATTCATGTACAGCAGTACACTGATATCACTCTTTCTTCAGTGGCTTGAGTTGTTCCTGGTATTCATTAATATAGGATTGTTTCATGAAAGGTTTTAAAACTGAACATTAAAATCGCTGAGGTTTTGTGATAGTTGTTTTTCCTAAAGATACTTTACTTATAAGCACAGATATTCATTAAATCAGTATTAATCAAATATTTATGAAAAAAAGAGCCAAGCCCCAGATAACAAGAAAAAAAAATTGCTGTTTGTAAAATAAGTAACTGAAGGAACAAGGAGAGTCTAGCATTCTACTGTGTAGAATAACCAAGATCATCATCAAGAGTACACAGGAGATGGTACCCAGATCCTCAAGGCTCCTGAACACTATACTACACCCAGATTCCCAGGCTTAGCACCTGGATTCAGGACTAATATAAATTGGCTTGAGCTGTTATTATATCAGAAACAAAATGTCACTAATATTTGAATACTCAGTGTGAACAAGAAAAGGTTTAGTGAACAATAAAAAACAATGCCTGGCTCATCAAAGCATAGTGTGCGTTACATGCTTCTAACATCATTTTCTAAATCATACATCCACCACAGATTTTACATATATATGTTTACATATGTATATGTGTATGAATGAATGTGTATATATGTATACACATAAAATGGATTATATATGCATATATTTGTGTACTTGTGTGTGTGTATATATATTCGCATCAGATGTTATTTTTCAAAAATAACATATTTTCTGAAGTGTTATTTTGATGTTATTTTCAAAAAGCCTGTGTTGAATAATTCTTAACTGTGCAGAATTTTTAAAGCGAACCAAATTAGTAATTATTAAGTTCTTATGTAGTCATATAATCTGTCAGTATAAATGATATTATGTATAAAACTGTTGCTCAGGATAAACACAGAAACCACAAATGCAGATTTGTTTATTGTTACCAATGTATAGTGTAGTTTTGTTTGTATCTGGGATAGAAGTTTCAGCTCTGGAATGATCTGAGAAATAGTTTCAAAACAGAAAAGCTTCTAAGGTAGAACAAAGGTTAATGGGTGCCTTTTACAAATAATAATCAACTTGTTAATTATTGCCACTGAAAAAGAATTCCATGTGGCGCTGCTGAAAAATAAAAATTACAATGCCAATAAAATACTATTTCAGTGGAGAGTTTATTAAAGATGTCTAAGACAGTCTGATTGGGAGTATGACATTACTCCATGATGAATTAGCCACAAGGGATTAGGAAAAAAAATTCTTATTTTGGAATTTATTAATCAACTACATTCCTGAACCTGTAAAATTACATTTTAAATTATGCATGCATAATTTATCTATGCATGCTTTTACATATTTTTATACAGAATTTTGAAATGTATACATTTACACATTTCTGGGAACACTGTCAAGAACTCCATCAGATTTTAAAGACTGTGTAACTCCCCATAAAGAAATGCTACATTTGAGTTTTCATAGTTCAGTCAGTTATTCAGTGAAGCAACTCAGTGTTGAACATGTGAACATCTTCGCTATAAATAATAAATATGCTGCAGGTACATTGACAAGGATTACTTCGTTTGGGTTTATTTCCTAATGGATCATTGCACGGTATTACCTTTGCAATAAATTAGGCCATACTTTAGGTATATTTGAAAACTGATTCTTCTATGAAACTATAAAATGTCATTTGCATTTGTTCCAAC